TTGGCCACATGTCACGTCACTTTCACTTTCACTTTTTAATTGAAATCCTGACTTGAAGTGAATGGGCCTTGACATTACCTTGACCTATTACCATAACACTTCAAACTCACATCAGCTCTTCAAACCATATTCGCACTGGGAAAAAGTCAGATATTGTTATATTTGTCTATTTTCCATTAACAAAAAGTGTGGTTTCTTTTTTTGTTTGCTTGTGTGCACCTTGTGGAATGTTTATGTCTCATATCCATGTGCTCTATAGATCAGCCCTGGCATCTGCCCATCAGGGTCAACCTCTGCCTAAGACCCTGAGTGTCATGGAGAGCACCCCACAGGTCAGAGGAATGCACACTATTATCAGGTATTATCAGAACCTTATTATCACACTATTAAACAAACTTGCTTATAAGATTCATTTGTTGCGAATTGTACTGCTTTAGTGCTGCATGTTTCATTTTACATGGACCTAATAGACATAACATAATAGAAAGACATATTGGTATTATTTCACAGTACGTATCAGTCAGAACGTTAGCAAACTGCTAGTTCGCAGCGCTGATAATGCTGTAATTTCAATAATCATTAAAATTGGTCTGGATTTAAAGTTTAGGTTCAAACTCAGGAATCATAACAATTGTACCCTGTACAATATACACCTTGGGTTACTCCAGTGTAGGTGTACTTTATGTCACAGATAAATGAAGAGCAAAATTTATCAGCTAAATGATTTCATTGTGCATTTAATGAGTGGGGCTTCGGCAGGCCAGCAACAGCTTGAGTTGTGTTTGTACGTTTTGGGCCACTGATTTGTAATTAGGTAATTAAAATAAAATAGGGATTGTTTTCTCACTTTATCTAAACTCTCAGACCAGTGGTTCCTGTATATAGTATCATACTCTCTTCCAAAAGACACATCATCTCTGTTGTGTATTACTGACTGTGTCCCCTGTGCCCCCAGGAATAAAGAAACCAGTCGGGATGAATTTATTTTCTATTCAAAGAGATTAATGAGGCTTCTCATAGAGCACGCCCTGTCCTTCCTGCCTCTGAAGGTGAGTGGACCGCCATTAATGACCAACTACGAACTTTTAAACTTGATGTTATGAGCTCTGGATATTGGTCATAATACAGTGATGCATTCGAGTGTCAGGCAGCGCCCCCATGGACAAATTACATTTTTATGGTGTGAAGTGAAGCAAGTCTTCATTTAAGATTAAAGCACTTGTTTTATATAATTTTAGTTAAAAAAATCGATCACTGAACCTTATTTCGTCTTTTCTCTTTAGCCGGTGTCTGTTGAAACTCCTCAAGGAACTGTATATGAAGGGAAGAGGCTGAGCGGGAAAAGGGTTTGTTTAT